AACAGAAGGATGATCTAGAAGCAAAGGCCACATCTACAGTGGAATTCAGGGACTCGAGGCAAACATCTCAGCCTTCGCCACGTGCTAAATTGGCACTTAAAGCCAAATGTGATCGAAGTTCACAGGGATCATATATGAAAAGTTATCAGGAAAACTCCAGAGTGTCAAAGCGAGGCTCACAGGAGAAACCAGATACAGGGAACACGCGACCTCTGTACCACCTCTGCAACTTAGCTGATACTCTAAAATTACTCCAAGATTAAAGGTTTATCTTTTAAATTATCTTTTCCATTAAAAGGGAGGGAAGGAGCTTGCTCTGGGGGAAGAGAAAGAAAGGAACATGTTACGTGATTGCAACCTGCACAAAGTTTAAGACTTTCTCACACAGAAACTCGTTTCCACACCACAACTATCTCCTGACAGTAGGTTCGAAGCGGCAGCAGCACTATTTCACGGCTAAAGAAACTCCTAAAAGATGGAGCCACTGTCCCAGGGTCCCACAGCTTTTCAGAGGTGGAGGTAGGATGCTATACCTGGTCTGCCTGACCCCAACGTCCGACGAGGAACCCAGTGTGGCCGAAGGACCCAGGTGGGAAAGGCGGGGCTGCCCTCTAGGGAGGATTAAAATGGACGAGGAGGGCCCACTGACTTCTAACCCACCGGCCAGGTTTGTCTCGAGGGTACCAGTGAGTCAGCCAAAGGCCAGCAATCCACCAAGTGACACGGTCCCCTCTCCAAAAGGCAAATTAAGAGATGCATCCCCCTTGGAGAATCTCAACGTTGGTAAACCTCACAGTAGGTTCGCCTGAAAGTCCTCTCACCCAGAAATGCATCATAACCTAGGCTGCTAAAGACGACTCTGTGTAAGCTTAGCTGTTCCCAGTCAACTCCCGGGCCACGCCTTACCGGAGGAGGCCACTGCCAAGCACCCGACACGTGAACAGTAAGTGACAGACAGGCACAAACCAACCACCATGGGCCTTTTCAAAACCCACTCAGAAAAGAACCAGTTACGTGGCACCTGGCGGGGGTTCCGTCAGTTAAGCATCCGACTCCTGACTTCAGCTCTGGTCATCGTCTCACGGTTCATGAGTTCGAGCCCCATGTCAGGCTGTGTGCTGGGCCTGGAACCCGCTTAAAATTCTCTCTCTCCCCCCTGCCTCTCTCCCGCTTGCCCGCATGTGCTCTCTCTCTCTCTCTCTCTCTCTCTCTCTCACACACACACACACATATATAACTCTCAAATATATATCACTCTCTCATAAATAACTGAAAATAAAAAAGAAAGAAAACAAGCAGTTACGAGGCGGCCCCTCCTCAAGAGCTATCTGAAGGCTCATGGGTCATCCCTCTCAGCCTGATGTCCTCTGCGTGCCACCAGAGGGCACTAACTCATGGAGTCACTCTTGAAACACTTAGGTCACATTTTAAACTGCAGGAATGTTGAATGAAAGCTGGATTTCAAAGCAATGAAGGGCTGGGTATGTAATTTTGACAGTGGCTTTGAGCATTTGCCGGTCATAAATCTCCATTTAATTCCATAAAACTTAGGGGTACACACACAGCAACAGGGTGTGCTAAAAAAAATAAGTCAACCAAATCTTCAGATTTATGAAAATAATGTATTTCAAAATAAAACTGAGAGTTACACACTTGCTCCTGCTTCTCTTGGCTCTGGGGCTGTCGTGTGGGTCACCCATCCCAGTGGCTTATGCACGTCGCGCCCAAGAGCCCCAAGAAAAACATCTCTGGATCCACCTTGCTTTTAAAGCTACTCTGGACGGAGTTAAAGTGGACATTCACCACATTAAATTACAGCAGTTTATTATGCATGATTAAAACATGATTTAGTCTTTTTTACTAAAATCCTTCTAAGAAATAAAGAGCACACATTTGCTTGGGCTCACTGTGCCCTGGGCTGCTATTCTGAGCACATTATACTTATTTCATACTTACAACATTCCTTTGAGAGGCTGCAAAATTCTATTTTCGTAAAAAGTTCAACCTTGCATTTCTTGAACGCAATCAAGAATTTTTCTTTACATTTGTATCCTCCACTGATGATTTATTTGCCCACAAAACTATAAATGCAGATTTGTGAGTTCTGCCTCATTAACCACCTTCTGCAATTATTTCTTCACCCCAGAATTCACACTTCTCATACTTCCATGGGGAGGATGACATTACATAATCAAAATAGTTCAGCGGGAAGTTTAATGAAAATGCATTATGCCCTGAAAGGTTTTTTTGTTTTGCTTTGTGGTACATAAAAATCTGCTCTTGGCTTTTCACACTTTATTTAAAAGGAAGTGAAACATATTTACTGATTCGATCAGAAACGTTGGTTGCTTCTCTAGGTGAAACAGAATTCCAGCTCGACCGGGTTTTTGGTTTTCCTGGTTTTAGTGGATTCTTTCAGCGTCCAAGAAATAACTGAAGTTCCCAATGAGATGAAGAAAAGTTGACAAATGCAATGCATCACCCCGAGAAGTTTTGGTTCTTTACACAATTCGTTACAAGTTAGTGCCCCCGTAAACTCGTGACAAACCGGCCTACGTCACATCCGTTCCAGATTTTGTTTTTGACCTTTGTGTTAAAAACAAAACCAACAATCCTCCTCCAAGGTTTCGAGAACATGTGGGTATTCTGGACTGTGCCAGCACACAAGGAACAAAGACAGAGCAGCTGCGACGTCTAGGTATTCTGGAACAAAAGCACTTTTGTTAGTACCATCTGAAAACTGCCTCCAAGCTCCCTCTATGCCTTCGTTCCTACCTCTCCGATCTAGGAAATATTTTGGTTTCTCTTATTTACTTGATGCCAAAATCTATAATTTTAAATTATTAGACATTAAGAAAAGTTACGTACGTCCACTCTCTACCTATTTATTCTTTCTCATTGCTTCTTTCTAGACTCTCACTAGACATCTTGATATTAAAATAAAGGAGAGCTTGTTTTATTGCTTTACCGTGATTCACAGGACCTGAGTTTTTACAAACTGGAGGTCTGTGGCAACCCTGTGCCGAGCATGCCCGTCGGCACCAACACCATTTGCTCACTTCAGGCCTCTGGGTCACATCTGGGTCATTCTCACCGTATTTCCAACTTTTTCCTTAGTATATTTTCATAGTGATCTGTGGTCAGCGATCTTTGATGTTATGATTGTCATTACTTTGGGACACCAGGAACCACATCCACTTAAGACGGCAAACTTAACTGATAAATGTCACGCGTGTCCTGACTGCTCCACTGACCGGCCGCTGCCCCGTCTCTCTCCCTCTCCTCAGGCTTCCCTGGCCCCGGAGACCTGACAGGATTGAAATGAGGCCAATTAATAACCCTCCGATGGCCTCTAAGTGTGCAAGTGACAGGAAGAGTCCTACACCTCTCGCTTTAAATCAAAAGCGAGAAACGACCAAGCTCGGTGAGGAAAGTACACTGGAAACCGAGACAGGTCGAAAGCCAGGCCTCTTGCGCCAAACAGCCAAGTGGTGAGTTCAAAGGAGAGTTCTCGAAGGAAATTAAAAGTGCTTCTCCAGTGAACACAGGACTGATAAGAGATCCAGACAGCCTTCTTGCCGACATGGAGAAAGTCTGAGTGGTCTGGATAGAAGATCAAACCAGCCTCAACATTCCCTTAAGCCAAGCCTAATCTGGAGCAAGCCCAACTCTCTTCAATTCTTGAAGGCTGAGAGACGCCAGGAAGCCGCAGAAGCAGTCTGAGGCCGGCAGAGATTAGTTCGTGAAGTTTAAGGAAAGCCGTCTCCGTGACGTGAAAACACAAGGTGAAGCCGCAGGAGCGGATGTAGAATTCACGAAGGCGGCCACACGCAACAGTGGCTGCCGTCAAGGGTTTTCATAGCTAGAGAGGAGAAGTCAATGCCTGGCTTCAAAGCTTCAAAGGACAGGCTGACTCCCTTGTTAAGGGCTAACGCAGCCAGTGACTTTAAGCTGAAGCCAATGCTCATTTACCATTGTGAAAATTCCAGGGCCCCGAAGAACTCTGCTAAATTTACTCTGCCTGTGCCCTATAAATGGAACAACAAAGCCTGGGTGACAGCACATCTGTTTACAACATGGTTTGCTGAATATTTTAAGCTCCCTGTTGAGAACTACTGCTCGGGAAAAAAAGATCCCTTTGTAAGTAGTACTGTTCGTTGACAATGCACGTGGTCACCCAAGAGCTCTGATGGGAGGACGGGATGAATGTTGTTTCCGTGCCTGCTAACACCACATCCATCCTGCAGCCCATCCTGAGTAATTTTGACTTTCAAGACTTGTAATTTAAGAAATACATTTCGTAAGGCCATGACTGCCATAAGCAGCGAGTCCTCTGATGGATCTGGGCAAAGTAAACTGAAAATCTCCGGAAAGGGTTTACCTTTCTAGAGGTCATTAAAAAGCATTCATGATTCCTTGGAACAAGAAATCAAAATATCGACATGAGCACGAGTCTGGAAGAAGCGTAGTCCCACCCTCATGGATGACTGTGAGGCGTTCAAGACTCCAGTACAGGAAGTCACTGCAGATGTGGTGGAAACGGCAGGAGAACTGGAATTGGAAGTGGGGCCTGAAGAGGGGACTGAATGGCTGCCATCTCAGGATACAACTTGAACAGATGCGGAGTTGCTTCTTAGAGACGAGCCTCTTGAGATGGAATCTGCTCCTGGTGAAGACTGTTGAAATGACAACACAGGATCTAGGACATTCCATAAACTTAGTCGACAAAGCAGTGGCAGAGTTTGAGGGGACTGACTCTATTTGTGAAAAAGGCTCTACTGTGGGTAAAATGCTATCAAACAGCATCACGTGCTAGAGAAAATCAGTCATGAAAGAAAGAGTTAATCAACGCAGCAAACTTCACCATTTTCTTAAGAAATTGCCACAGCCACCCCAACCTTCAGCAACCACCACTCTGATCAGTCAGCAGCCATGACATCGAGGCAAGACCCTCCAGGACCAGCAAAGGGATTATGATTTGCTACAAGTTCAAATGATGGTTAGCATTTTTCAGCAGTATTCTTTAATTAAGACACGTACATTTTTTTTTTGACACAAGGCTATTATGCATTTAGGAGACCACAGTATAAACTTAACTTTTATGTGCACCAGAAACAGAAACATTCATTGGACCCGCTTTGTTGTGATACTCATTTTATTGCAATGATCTGGAACCAGAACTGCAAGATCTCTGAGGTGTGACTGTATTCCAGAGATGTGGCTCACGTCTCTCCTACATCTCTATCCTCTACGTCTTCATCAGGAGGCATGGATACCGGAACAGAGAATGAATGTGTAATTCCTAATTCTAAAGTCCTGATTCTCTCTGGCATCTCATAAACATGCTGTGCCACTCACTGCAATCACAACAAATTTTTTATATTTACCAAGTTTCACTGTTTATCGTTTTTAAAAGTTATATGTAAAAAGACAAATTAAAAGGAAACATTCAGAAAGGATGCAATGCCAGTTGATCCATTCATTCACTCAGCAGCATTTATTTAGACTGTACACGGTGCCAGGCCCTGGAAACACGAGGATGAACAGGATGGAGGTCCTGCCCTCGTGGAGCTTCCATTCTCGTAGGAGACAAGACAGTGACCAACACGTAACTGTATCACTGCCCTGGAGGTGAGTGCTCTTATAAAAAGAGAAACTTGTGAAGGGGATCGAGAGTGGCATCTGGGCAGGAGGATGATCACGGAGACCTCTGTGACCAGGGGGCATGTGGCTACAGACCCGCTCTCCCAAAGCTAGGTCAGACCGTGGATCTCCTTCATAATGACTGCGGATGAAGCAGGAGCGGGGCACTTTAACCTCTTTCATTTTCAGTAACATTCAGTTCAAGTTAATTTTGGGTTTTAAGTGCAATCACTTCACTAACAGAATTCTCCTGGAGCCAGACATGGGGCTGCGGGATGGCAAGATCCCCCTAAGAGTTCTGCCAGCCCTCAGTCCAATGTGCCAGCCCTCCCGGCTCCAGCTCTGTGGGTCCCTCCTCTTGCAGCGCCCATGAACAAGTGTGTGGCGAGAGCCTGAAATAAATAAGTGTAAAATGGGTCAAGACCATCGCTTCTATTTCTGTTTTTAACTGAAGAAAATGTGCCCCATTTCCAGAGGCAGAGAGAGAAGGAGACATCTGAATAAAGACAAACTACAGTATACACTAAACACACACGTGTGTGTACATGTAGAAATGTACCCCACACACACAGCTGAATTGGGACAAACTACAATACATAAAATCTATGTGTATGTACACATATAAATGCACCACACACATCTGAATAAAGCCAAACTACATGATACATTCAACACCCGCATGTATGTGGACACATATAAATGTACCACATACATACACACACAAGTGACTCACTTCCCTACGGTAACTCAAAAGTGGGTCTTTTACAATCAGCCTTTATACAATCCTCACAACATAACTTTTATCGGTTGTAGGATGTATCTTTAAGAGGCCACAGGAGTTTTTTAAAGGATCAAATTAAAAATTAACAGTTCAAAATGATCAAGGTTGAGATTCAATTAACACTAATTTTAGAAGAATTTTTTTACTGACTATGCATATTCAGTAAACTACTCAAGTTTTTGTTTTCTTTTTTTCTAACACAGCATCCCCAAGGAGTCATTATGTACAATCAGCTCTCTAATTCAGATTAGCGTGTCTAAGTACACATTGACGCAACAGAACACAATGCTTCGAGAGGCTCCCCTGCTAGACACCATCCGGTGAAGCACAGGCCTGAGAAGGTGGACCCCTCGGATTTCATCCCCAGCACCAACACTCGTTACTTTCAAACAGCGTCATGTGCTACAGGAATGCCGTATTTCGAAGCGATACTGAATGAGGAGTAGAACCAACATTTCCTTAATTATGGAAGATTCTAATAAGCTACAGGTGACTTCCACAGTGGCCCTGAAACCACCAAACGCATACTGACGCCGAAGGAAGCCACAGGAGGTCTGTTCTTTCTGATCTCACTCCCCTCCCCTTGCTTAGGTGCTACTGGAGGGGAAGAACCATAAAGTGGGTGATTTGGGGTTAAAACACTGAACACCATGCTAATGAGTCTTTGAGGGCAAGGTGTGAGCCCGTGGCAGGGGAAGGGTTGTGATGCTGCGTTGTTTTTCTACTTTGGGGATGATTTCCAAACCAAACCTCTCATCGACTGAGTAGAAGCGTAACTAGTGAATTCCCATGGAGCCAGGTACTTATGAAAGAGCCAACATACTCAAGCATGTGTCCAGTGCAGAGAGGCAGGTCGGCTTCACAGGCCAAGAGGATGGTGCTAGAAAGGACACATCATGGAAAAAAAGAGCTGTGAGCTTCTTACAAGGAAAGTCCTCACATTTATGATCTACTTCCCTAGTTGTTATTCAGTTAAATAATCAGTTAATTAAGACACCAGAACAACAAACTGAAGATTTTGAGGCAATCAAATGCAAATTACGGGGGCGCCTGGGTGGCTCAGTCGGTTAAGCATCTGACTTCGGCTCAGGTCATGATCTCCCGGTCCGTGAGTTCTAGCCCCGCGTCGGGCTCTGTGCTGACAGCTCAGAGCCTGGAGCCTGCTTCAGATTCTGTGTCTCCCTCTCTCTCTGACCCTCCCCCGTTCATGCTCTGTCTCTGTCTCAAAAATAAATAAACATTTTAAAAAAATTAAAACAAAAAACAAAAAACAAATGCAAACTACGTTCTTTAACATGAATCAGGACTGTCTCTGATGGAATCAGACCGCAGCTTCTGACTTCATTGCCCTGTGCACATGTGCTTTCTGCTACCTAAATCTTCAGACCCATATAAACCAACACAGTATATTTATTCCCTTCCCCCAAAAACAATGATTAAGTTTACCATTTTGGCTTGGAGGTACATTACCTCACTGTCCCCTCCCCTTTCATCCACCCATATTCCTTTACTCAGCCACATGCACAGGTTGGGCTGGGCTCTGGGGAAAGAGAAACAGGTGAGGCCTCACACCTGCCCCGAGGAGCTCACAGTTTAGGGGATTCAAAACACCAATAAAGAGACAAGTTACAATATGCTGTGACAAGGGTCCTCAGACAGACATGGAAAGAAGGGCTCATTAAAAGGGAGCCAGCAGGACAGGCCATGCAGAAAGGGTGTATGGAGAAGTGACATCCAGGCTGGCCTCCAGAAAGGCCCTGTCTGCCAGGCACAAAACCAGGAAGGGAGGAGCAGAGAAGGAGGACGGTGGCAGGGAGCCGGCGAGGCAGGTTGTATTCGCCCATGAATACCTCCCTCCACCTACAGCGACATGCAGAGATGGGTGTCTGCAGTTCGTGAATACTTTATTAGTAAAGGCAAATCCAAATGACAACACAGAGAAGCCTACAGAGAGCTGGCATGCATGGGAGTTCTATGCACCCTGAGGCCAAGGGAGGCCAAGGGAGGCCAAGGGAGGCCAAGGGAGACCAAGGGAGGCCAAGGGAGGCCAAGGGAGGCCAAGGGAGGCCAAGTGCTTGCCCACTGAAGGCCAAGCATCTGCTTTCGTTAGGGTTATGCTGGCCACACTGGATCAAGTTTCAGTGTCAGCAGTGAATTTCTGAAGGAATAAAGTACAAGTTTAAATGTTATGCTTTGGGGTTTTTTTGAGGCAAGAATTACAACAAGAGCATGCTAGTGACCCAGATCTAAGTAAGAAACAATGAACAAATGTCAAAATGCTCAGTTTCCTAGTCTCCTAGACACACTGACCTTCACTTTCCAAGAAACCAACATTGCGTGTGGACCGAATTAAGTAATCACACTAACAATGCTTTTTAAAAGCTAACGCTTCAGTTCTCTTATATAACATGTGTTATCATTTACACGTGGCATCATAAAATCGCTCTTCTTTTGTTGAAATTCCAGGCCATTCGTCATAAAGATTTACACATGAAGGAGTGACTTTATAGGCAAAACACCATTTAGTGGAGAGCAAAACCTCCAAACAAACTGCAATAAAGCCATCAATGTTCTTTAAATTTCTTGCTTAACTTCCAGTTCTTGATATTCACCCACTTTCCCATTAGATGGAAACATTTTAATTAGAATAAAGAGAGTTTAAGAAAACTTACATAAGAAGCTTTCATTATCACTAAATTGTGTTTACTGAGTTTTCTCTTACATGAATACAATGGCGCTAGAAGGACATTATTTTGAAGAGGGTGCACAGTTAGTGACCAAGTGGACTCTAGGACACTCTTACGGGATTACTAAAGTCTGGATGTTAACTAACTACAGCCCACATTCTCCTGACATTAGTTCACACGAAATGAACAGGCAATTACTCCTTCAAAACAGAAGCCATCCAAGAACAAGAAATTGACAAATACACGGCTCCAGACTCTTCCTGAATATGGGGACTGGTAGGATTTTTGTTGTTGCTATTGTTAATCTTAACAGAAGAGGAAACAAACAAAAGGATCCGAAGTCATTTAGGCCCAGACTGAGGGAGTCTGCGCACCTCTTTCCCTGGGGCTCGTTGTGGGTATGGAAAGCAGCAAGAGCACGTGAGCGCAGGAGGCATTCCTGTTCACCCTTTCAAACTAGTTTGATTTTCCTGGGGCTACAAGGCTAAAAAAAAAAAAAAAAACAAACAGCTTCTGACCTCATCATCACTTTTTACTAATCTTTAAAGACACACTGTGGATCAAAGCCAAATATACGAACTTATCTGCACAAGTTATTCTGTGTATACAGATAAGACAAAGAGCGTGCACGGGGACCAGACATGTAAAAATCTACTGCGTGGTAAAAGGCTGACCGTACCCACCCTTTCAAAAGCATCAGGTGAGGACAGGCAGGGCTTGTATGCTGCTCCCTGTACCACATGGGACCGCCTCGAAGCTACTAAATGCTGTCTTCTGTAGGAATTCAAATACATTTAGGATGAAGTATAAAAGAGCCGAATTTGAGGTAGTCGAGGTTTATGCCAAAATAAAGATCGAAATCTAAAAGATAGGACAAAATAAAGATAAAATTCCAAAGGATACTTTTTTCCTGGGGGCAAAAAAACGACTGTAATGAGTTGCCCACATGGAGTTAACATTTTCATTAGCGACTCAACGAAAAGCCTTCTGGATGAAAATAAAAACCAAATGAAAAGCTGCCATTTTGGGAAGAACTTGTCAAAATTATGGTTTTGTATTCTGATATTTTACTGTGACTCAGAAATCTTGATTCCAAGGAGGTACCACCTGGATTTGAAATGAGGCAAGAACGATCCCTCAGAACCTCACAGATGCTTTGAGAAGCAGGGCAGGATCAGGGTCAGGAAATGCTCCTTGGTGGGGGAAGGTTAAAGCCGCGGCCACTGAGGTACAGATTCTACTAACAGCCACAGCACCCCCCTTCTGCCTCTCCAACCTCTGTTACTCTCATCAGGAGTCATAAGCAGTTTCAGATCCATGTAGACAATCCTTCTTCCTAAACACTGGCCTGTTCCTTGACCCATTCCTGTCTAATAACCTTGAACCGTACTTCCCCAAGGTCATCCCCAACCTGTTCGAGATGGTGGCCGTGAGCCAGGTGTGCAGACTGAGCACTTGAAATTGTGTTGGGTCTGAATGAAGAGGTGCTGGAAGTATAAAATCCATATCGGATTTCAGGGGCGCCTGGGTGGCGCAGTCGGTTAAGTGTCCGACTTCAGCCAGGTCACGATCTCACGGTCCGTGAGTTCGAGCCCCGCGTCGGGCTCTGTGCTGACAGCTCAGAGCCTGGAGCCTGCTTCAGATTCTGTGTCTCCCTCTCTCTCTGCCCCTCCCCCGTTCACGCTCTGACTCTCTCTGTCCCAAAAATAAATAAACGTTGAAAAAAAAAATTTTTTTTTAATCCATATCAGATTTCAAAGACTCAGTACAAAATAAATGTAAAATATCTCAGTAAGTTTTATATTCATTAAATATAAATAAAAAATAATATAAATATGTATCACTGAAATTAATTTCATTTGTTTCTTTTTACTTTTTTCAAATATGGCTTCTAAAACATTAACAATTACAGGGGCGCCTGGGTGGCGCAGTCGGTTAGGCGTCCGACTTCAGCCAGGTCACGATCTCGCGGTCCGTGAGTTCGAGCCCCGCGTCGGGCTCTGGGCTGATGGCTCGGAGCCTGGAGCCTGTTTCCGATTCTGTGTCTCCCTCTCTCGCTGCGCCTCCCCCGTTCATGCTCTGTCTCTCTCTGTCCCAAAAATAAATAAACGTTGAAAAAAAAAATTTTTTTAAAAATAAAAAATAAAACATTAACAATTACACACGTGGCTCACATTATACTTCCCTTGGACTGCACTGCCCTAGGCCTTGATGTCAACCCAAACTGTACCCCTTCCATATCAAATGAAAGCATTCCCCTACTTGACTATGTGTACTCCACCCATTCCTGATCCTACTCCTTGAATCCCACTGACACCAAGGCCTCCTGCTGCCCTCACTTCCCTCTTGCTTCCCTGTTGCCACCCGCCTGGCCTAGAGCATGGGGTCCGTCATCACCCCAGCCCTCAGCTCCCTTGCCCCTCCCCACCAGGATACTCCCCCGGCAAAATCCCAACCCTGGGCTCAGTCCTCCTCTCTGCCCTCTCACAGCCTGCATCTAGGCAGCAGAAAGCAGAACTCTTTGAAGGCACCAGCTCTGCTTCCTGTCCTTCCCGTTTTCACTCGAGCCAGCTAGAATCGGGCTTTTGTCTCCCCACTTCACTCCACCAGCTCTTATCAAAGTCACCGATGACCTCCATGCCGCTAGAGCCACGGTCAATTCTCAGTCTGCATCTGACCTGACCTTTAGCAGCATCTGACATCGATGATCACTCTGCTTTGAAACACATTCTTCCAGGAGACCCCACTCTCCTGGTTTTCCTTCTCTGGTTGTTCCTTTCCATTCTTCTTTGCTTCCTTCTCTTTCCTCCTCTTAACACCCCAGCGCTCCGTGTTTGAACGCCTCTCCCTACCCATACCCCCTTCAGGATTTCACATGTCCCAGAGCTGTTAAGAACCTTCTATATGCTGCAAAGACTGCAAAGTCTGGCTTGAGCCTAGGCCTCTCCTCCTCTAGATTACAACTCCTCTATGTGACTCCCTAGTCAACACCTCCACTTGGCATCCTGGAATTAACACGTCCAAAACACAACTCTTGCTTTCTCCTCACCCTTTCTCCCCAACCTGCAGCTCCCACGGGCTTCCCAATCTCAGCAAAGAGAAACTGCATCCTTCCAGCTGCTCAGTGCAAAAACATTGGCATCAACCCCGACTCCTCATATTTGCACACAACCTGTCAGCTCTTCCTCTGAAACACATCCAGCATCTGACCGCTTCTCAACACCCTCGTCCAGGCCACCCTCAGCCCTGGACGGTCTCACTGGTCTCCTTATTTCCATTCCTACCACCCTAAAGCAGGGAGCTGCAAACTTTTTCTTAAAGGGCCAGATAGTAAATATTTTAGGCTCTGTGGGCCAGATGGTCTCTGTCGCAACCACTCAACTTGGCTGTTGCAGCTCAAAAGCAGACTCAGACAATA